AAACTTTAAAAAATTTAAGACCTTTCTCTCTGTCTCTCTCTCTCACTATCCACTCTGTCAAAAAAAAAAAAAATCTCTAAAGAAAAAAATCAAGATGCAATACTGAGTATACCATATGATCCAATTTTTACAAACATTTATTCATATTTTTGATTAGAAAAGAGATTGCTGGGAAGGACTCCAGAATTTTAATGGTGAATATGATCTCAGGGAAACATGATTATGGGTCATTTTTATGGGTCTTTATTCACTTTATACACTTCAGTATCTCCCAGCTTAAATTTATTTAAATATTTACAACTAGCAAGTATTACATTAATGATCAGAAAATAAGCAATAATTAGGGGAAAAATCTTTTCCCTTATCTGTGTCTGTCAGTATAATCAACTATACCATTTATCCATGATTTAGCATGGCTCAAAATTAATCATAGTCATTTTTCAACCAAACCTCCATTCCAGTCTTCTACTAATTTTATCCATCTATGTTAGATCCGAAACCTGGCTATCTTAGCCCCAACAAGGTGCTTCTGTTGGTAAAGAGCCACACGCCCGCCGTGTCATGATTCCCAAGTAGCCTGTTTCCGTCTGCGTCTTTATAACCAAACCCCACCATTTGACCAACTCTCATCCTTGACTTGATTTCAACTTCACTGACAGGGTAGGGGAAGAAGTGAATAACGGGAAACAAAATGAAAGGTAGAAAAAGACCTATGTTCAGGTTCACATGTAGACAAAGAGGTAAGGGACCACGAAAGATGAAGGAGATCAAAAAGGAGGAAGGCAGTGAAAGGTGGGATAATTTTTAAACAGAAAAAGCAGCAGTTGCTCAAATGTTTGCCATATTACAATAATGACTGCCACATTATCAGCTTTATCCGCTTTCTGCAGCTTGCTATACACTCCTATGTATTCACACCCCTTCATATTCATGAGGTAAACAATAACAAAAGGATTAGTGGCCTTAGGGGATGCCTCCAACTCAGAGGCTTCCTTGGAAGATAACCCAATGACTCAAGATGTTCTAAGGCCACTTTATATAATGATAGTAAACAGCTAACATTGAGTGATGACTAGCTAGTAAGCAAGGCCAAACAAATTACCTACACTATCTCATTTGATCCTCGGAACAAACCCATGAGCTAAGTGGTATTTAGATCTCTATTTTAGAGGGCAAGAGCTGTGGCGTAGTGGGTAAAGCCACCACCTGCAGTGTTGGCGGCAGTTCAAGTCCTTGGGCCCCTGCACCTCCGTGGGAATGCCTGGAGGAAGCGCCTGGCTCCTGGCTTCCGATCGATCAGCACAGCTCCAGAGGTTGCGGCCACTTAGGGAGTAAATCACTGGATGGAAGATCTCTCTCCCTCTCTCTCTCTCTCTCTCTCTCTCTGCCTCTCCTTCTATCTCTGTGTAACTCTCAAATAAATAAGCAAATCTTTAAAACATATCTATTTTAGAAACTTAGAAACAACCCAAGAAATGATTATTTCTGTACCTAGAAAGCCCATTCTTGGCTAAATCAGGAGCACATGAGGGTGGACAGAAAAAGGCAAACAACTATTTCCTTAATACCTGAGATGTCAAGTACTTCACCTCATTCACTTCTTACTAAATCTTAGGAGGTTACAGAGAACAAAGCCAATGTTTTGGATTGATGGGTTGAACAGGACTTGGCTCCCTAAACTCACTAAGACATTTAAACTCCAAAGTCCTATGTTAACAATTAATGGGTTGATGCTAACGGCTGAAGGACTAGGGTAGAGACTTGATCTAATTATGACAGCTAGGAGATGGGCCCAGTGGAAGGGCTCTAGGCATGCCCTCAGAAGGTGGTTCGGACAGGGCTGATTATATAAACTAAGCATGTGCATCCTTTTCCCCTCTGCTTTTTGGCTCATCACAGAATCACGTTCATGCTCAGCTTCCACCAGACATCAGATTAATGGGATTGCCTGATCTTGAACTGTAACCTCCAACCTGTAAGCCAACTAAATATTTTCCTTCCCAAGAAACTCCTCTCAGGTATTTTAGTTTAAGTAATGAAAAGCTAATACAGCCAGTGACTGAAATCTGAATTTGAAAGAGGTTTTAAGCATGTCCTACACAGTTGAGTCTGAAGCTCAAGGTTTTCCCTTTATAGGATCCTGAACAATCAGGACATTCTGAGGGTCCTCCTGGGTTAGGGCAAGGACAAACCCAGCCTCCTAGGGCAGCCACTTGCACTTAAAAGCCAGCCCAGCCTCTGTGGTTGGAGCAGGTCAAAGTGTTAAGGGAGCCAGAAGAGACACTCAGATTATACAACCTAATTCTGCAGACTCCATCCATGGGACTTCTCAACCAAAACCAACATGACAGGTTCTGTGTTGGAGTTTGGGAATCCATTCCTGCACTCAAGGCCTTTATAGTCCATTAGGAACATATATCCTGGAAGGGCATTCACTTGGACGTTAGCATAAAACACGTATGTGTACGATATCCTCTCAACAACTACTGACACCACTATGAACAAAACGGTGAGTCTAGCATCACAGAGCTTGCATTTTCACAAAGCAAAGCCAACTCACTTTAAACCCTGTTATCTCTAGCTCCTCAGACTACCAAATGATTGAATTTGAAGAGGGTGGGTTTAGCAGAATAAAGTTCCAGAGCCAACAAGGAGACAGGAGTCATCTGAAAAGATGCATGTATTCATCTTGTTTTTTTTTTTTTGAAAGGCAGAGTTCCAGAGAGAGGGAGAGACAGAGAGGTCCTCCATCCGCTGGTTTACTCCCCAAATGACCACAACAGTCAGAGCTGAGCTGATCTGAAGCCAGGAGCCAGGAGCTTCCTCCAGGTCTCCCACATGGGTGCAGGGGCCCAAGGACTTGAATCATCCTCTACTGCTTTCCCAGGCTATAGCAGAGAGCTGGATCAGAAGTGAAACAGCGAAGACTCAAACCAGCACCCATATGGGATGCCAGCACTGCAGGCCAGGGCTTTAACCCACTACACCACAGCACTGGCCCCAAAGCTGCACATACTCAACAACTGGATAATGCTTACATTTTCTCCTCCCACTGGCACATGACCTCTGCCAAACATATTAGGCACCAGGTAAAGTTTTTTTTAGTTAATGGAAGTTTACACTGCTTGAAAGGAGTTGCATAAACTCAAAAACAGAACTAAAAGGAAATGCTGTTTTGTAATTGCTGTTTCCAGGTGAACAGGCTGACTGAGATGCATATCAGGGCCTTCAGAAGTTCACAAAAATTTTGCATTATCTTTTTTTAAAGATTTATTTATTAGAAAGGCATTATTACAGAAAGGCAGAGGTAGAGAGAAAGAGAGAGGTCTTCCATCTGCTGGTTCACTCCCCAAATGCTGTAATGGCTAGAGCTGGGCTGAGCCAAAGCCAGGAGCCAGGAGCTTCTTCCAGGTCTCCCACACGGGTGCAGGGCCCAAGGACTTGGACCATCTTCCACTGCTTTACCAGGCCATAGCAGAGACCTAGATCAGAAGTGGAGTAGCTAGGACTTGAACCGGCACCCATATGGGACGCCAGCACTGCAGGTAGTGGCTTTACCCACTACACACCACAGCACCAGCCCCTGCATTATCTTTTAATCCCATTTTTCCACGAACCTTCCGAAGCCCCCTTGTATGTCAGACTGATGCCTAAAGAGCAACAGTCACAGTACCATACACTACTTCTCACCATAGGTGAGGAAACCTACAGTACAGAGAGGGTCCGTTTGGTAGATCCAGGCTGGATGACTTGGGATGACAGGAGTCTACCTTGACCTCAGATTCCACAACACAGACATGCTTGCATGCCCTCTGGTAGGCGGTACAACAGTGAGGGAGAGAGCTGCCCACTGTATTTGTGAGTACTTGCATTGACATGGATCTCTGTAAGGCACTGAATCAGAGAAATACATGAGTACTGTCTCGTCTCAGAATCAAAAAATTTGAATATAGGAGTCTCCCCTTAAAAGAAACTGTGAAACAATTCATTCATAATAACAATGCTTCATTTGCAGGCAGAACCATTTGTGCTAGCAAGAAAAATAGAGAATACAGAATATTTACCTCTCATGGAGCTAAGCAAAGAATCCATTTGCTAAATAACAAAACTGAAGCAAAGACATCAAACATGATTACATTTAGCTGTTAGGTCTCCTTCACAAGGGGCAAATCTCTCTTCTATTTTCCTCATTTTCTGTCCAAAGGAGGTCAGGAGTCTTGTCAAACTGATTTACTGATGCAGTTATCTTGACCCTCTAAAATGGGAATATCTATACCCTGCAGTCAACTAAGTTTGTGAAATCGGTTTTTTATAATTTTCAGCAGTCATAAAGCATAGTGTAGGTGATAGCAATAAAATATAAATTATAGCTGTTGTTAATCTCTTCAGATGTAAATTAACTTAAGTGCCTATTTTTCTTTTCTGACTTAAACCAAATCCTTTGTTTCAGGGCCGGTGCTGTGGCATAGCAGTGCAGGCATCCCATATGGGCACCCCACTTCTGATCCAGCTCTCTGCTATGGCCTGGGAGAGCAGTAGAGGATGGACCGGGTCCTTGGGCCCCTGCACCCGTGTAGGAGACCCAGAAGAAGCTCCTGGCTTTGGATCGGCATAGCTCTGGCCGTTGGGGCCAATTGAGAAGTGAACCAGCAGATGGAGGACCTCTCTCTCTCTCTCTACCTCTCCTTCTCTCCCTGTGTAACTCTTTCAAATAAATAAATAAATCTTTTTTAAAAAATCCTTTGTTTCATCAATACCAACAAAAATTCAGTCACATTCTCTGCTTCTGATACAGCTGCTTACAACAAAGTGAATGAAATAAGTGTTTCTGACTTGAAACAAAATATAAGCTTGTGTTTTCCAGTACCTTATCCCTTGGAGTTCTTGAGTATGCAGTACCATATAGCATACAGAGGCAGAAAGATGCTTAGGCAGTTGTATAATAGCCAGTCATGCCCAAGGTTTTCTCCCTTTCTGAAAACAGAAAAACCACTCCCAAATACTTCTTAAATACCTTTATTTGTTAGCTTTTGCTTTAGTTTCTAGCCATGTTACAATACAAAAATGCACAATGCCTCATCAGTTTCAAGGGCACCACAGTCATGAAATGATCCCCACGCAATTCAATTATCTGCCAGCTATAGCCCTTTGCTGCAGCCACAGTTAGCCCTACCTGGCTCCACATTCTAAATACATAAGATGAAATCCTGGGTAGCTTATGAGTCCTGAGCTCCCGACACACCCACCTTTGCACAAGTCGGAAAAAAATGGGAAGGGAGAATAGGATATATCCAGTGCTTTCTTTGCAAAGCATCATTCTCATGGGGCAGTTGGGCCAGGAAGGTGATTCTCGGTTATCCACTGGCCAGATCCATTGGGCAGGACCATCAAGAGACAGGAAGCCGGCGCCGCGGCTCACTAGGCTAATCCTCCGCCTTGCGGCACCTGCACACCGGGTTCTAGTCCCAGTCAGGGCGCCGGATTCTGTCCCGGTTGCTCCTCTTTCAGGCCAGCTCTCTCCTGTGGCCCGGGAGTGCAGTGGAGGATGGCCCAAGTGCTTGGGCCCTGCACCCCATGGGAGACCAGGAGAAGCACCTGGCTCCTGCCATTGGATCAGCGCGGTAAGCCGGCCGCGGTGGCCATTGGAGGGTGAACCAACGGCAAAGGAAGACCTTTCTCTCTATCTCTCTCTCTCACTGTCCACTCTGCCTGTTAAAAAAAAAAAAAAAAGAGAGAGAGAGAGAGACAAAGGAAAACTGCAGATACTGACGCTAGGGGATATCAGTGTCCAAAGGCAGACTGTCCTTGGAGGCTGGCTCACAATTGTGGGCTAAATATTAAAAAGAGAACCCAGTTACTGAACTAAGGATTATGTAAAGTCAAAACTGGCAGCGGCGGCGGGGGAAGGTTGGGGGGGGCTCTTTGTCAAACTTAAAAACAGAATTCAAGCCGGCGCCGTGGCTCAATAGGCTAATCCTCCACCTTGCGGCGCCGGCATACCGGGTTCTAGTCCCGGTCGGGGCGCCGGATTCTGTCCCGGTTGCCCCTCTTCCAGGCCAGCTCTCTGCTATGGCCAGGGAGTGCAGTGGAGGATGGCCCAGGTGCTTGGGCCCTGCACCCCATGGGAGACCAGGAAAAGCACCTGGATCCTGGCTCCTGCCATCGGATCAGCGCGGTGCGCCGGCTGCAGCGGCGGCCATTGGAGGGTGAACCAACGGCAAAGGAAGACCTTTCTCTCTCCGTCTCTCTCTCACTGTCCACTCTGCCTATCAAAAAAATAAATAAATTAAAAAAAAAAAACCTTCTATTATTTAAAAAAAAACAGAATTCAGGAATCCTACCTCGTATCCTGGCTTTGACCAAGCAATGAGACCACATCACTAGATAATGTAGTTGGTTGAACATATAAAGTACAACATGTATCCAATCTCTCAACCCAGTGCCTTCAAAACTCTACCCCATTTCTAGTTTGTATTACAATTCCTTTTGGATGGCAAAAATGCTGGGACAAATTTCTAGAGTCTTTCAAGAAATATTTGAGGCTGTCAAAAATGATGATTTTGAAATAAAGAACTGGGGCCAGCACCATGGCACAGTAGGTTAATCCTCCACCTGTGGCGCCAGCATCCCATATGGGTGCCAGTTCTAGTCCCAGCTGCTCCTCTTCCCATCCTGCTCTCTGCTGTGGCCTGGGAAAGCAGTGGAGGATGGCCCAAGTTCTTGGGTCTCTGCACCCACATGGGAGACCAGGAGGAGATGCCTGGCTCTTGGCTTTGGGTTGGCGCAGCTCCAGCTGTTGCTGCCATTTGGGGAGTGAACCAACGAAAGAAAGACCTTTCTCTCTGTCTCTTCCTCTCACTGTCTGTAACTCTACCTCTCAAATAAAAATAAATAAAATATTAAAAAAAAAAAAAAAAAAGAGGCTGGCGCCGCGGCTCACTAGGCTAATCCTCCGCCTTGCGGCGCCGGCACACCGGGTTCTAGTCCCGGTTGGGGCACCGGATTCTGTCCCGGTTGCCCCTCTTCCAGGCCAGCTCTCTGCTGTGGCCAGGGAGTGCAGTGGAGGATGGCCCAGGTGCTTGGGCCCTGCACCCCATGGGAGACCAGGAAAAGCACCTGGCTCCTGGCTCCTGCCATCGGATCAGCACGGTGCGCCGGCCGCAGCGTGCCGGCCGCGGCGGCCATTGGAGGGTGAACCAACGGCAAAGGAAGACCTTTCTCTCTGTCTCTGTCTCTCACTGTCCACTCTGCCTGTCAAAAAATAAAATAAAAAAATAAATTAAAAAAAAATAAAGAAAGAGGGGCCTGCACTGTGGCGTGGTGGGTAAAGCCGCCACCTTCCGTGCCAGCATTCCATATGGGTGCCGGTTCTGGCCCCGGCTGCTCCTCTTCTGAACCAGCTCTCTGCTATGGCCTGGGAAAGCAGTGGAAGATGGTCCAGGTGCTTGGGCCCCTGCACCCATGTGGGAGACCCGGAGGAGGCTCCTGGCTTCAGATCAGTGCAGCTCCAGCCGTTGATGCCATTTGGGGAGTGAACCAGTGGAGAGAAGACCTTTCTGTCTCTCCCTCTGTCTGTGACTCTACCTCTCAAATAAATAAAAATAAAATCTTTTTCAAAAAAAGAAAGAACTTTCTATAAAGATACCCAATACAGCAGCCACTAGTCACAAGTGGCTATGAGAACTTAGCAAGTGTGGCTAAAGTGATTATGGAATAGGATTTTAGATTTCACTTAATTTTAAATTTAAATCAGAAGCTACAGTATTAGACCGTGCAGTTCTATCTGCTACAAAGTTAATTTTTATTTAATAAAAATACATTTACAAAAGTTAAATCTTTCTCTTATGACACACAGAACAGGCAGAAATTCATATTTGTTCAAAAAGACCCTTTCTCTGGGCAAACCCCTACGGCCAGCAATGATCTATTTCCACTTAAAAAGACAAGGGAAAGCAGGATAACTCAGTAGCAATTCCAGGTCCAAATTCTCACAGATCCTTTCAATTACTCCAGGAACACTCCAGTCTCCCTTAAAGCTACTCCTATCTTACGGTAAAAAAACAACCCACCCCCTTTCTCTTCGCCCTTGGCAGTGTCTCTCACTGGAAGACTCCAACAACCTCATGATCGGAGCCCTCCCATCCTCTAACCCGGGGGGCTGACTTTTTCCAGAGGTTTCGGCAGAAACACCAAAGAAACCTTACAGTACAATGATCGCAGAACGCCTTGCAATAAGGGGCACTGAGAAAACACCACCAGCAGACTCAGGAAGATGAATTCAAGACGGAAAATGAGGGGAGGAGGGCCATCCCCGCCGGGCAGTTTTTCCAAGCCCACGCCTGAGGGAGACGCCCGGCTCCGGGCGAGGCAGAAGCCTTCCCGAGGTGGATTTTCCGATGCTGGCTCAGGTAGGCACCTCTGCTGAAGCACTTGTCACAGTCAGCACATCTGTAGGGTTTCTCTCCCCTGTGCGTCCTCCGGTGCCTGATAAGGTTAAAGCTCTGGCTGAAGCACTCGCCGCACTCGGGACACTTATACGGCTTCTCCCCTGTGTGTGTGCGCTGGTGGATCACCAAGGTGGAGCTCTGGCTGAACGTCTTCCAGCACTCAGAACACCTGTACGGCTTCTCCCCTGTGTGTGTCCTCTGGTGTCTGATGAGGTGGGAGCTCAGGCCAAAACTCTTGCCACATTCGCAGCACTTATACGGTTTCTCTCCTGGCTGGTGCCCGCACCCTTCTGCCACACTGCTGCTGCTCTCACTCAGACTCTCTCTGCATTCGGAACTTTCACAGGCTTTCTCTCCCGTGTGCGTCTTCCGGTGCGCAATGAGGTTTGAACTGCGACTGAAACTCTTCCCGCATTCTGAACACTGGTAGGGCTTCTCGCCGGTGTGAGTTCGCTGATGCTTTATGAGCGTAGAATTGCAACCAAAGCTTTTTCCACACTCGAGGCATCTGTAGGGCTTCTCGCCTGTGTGCGTCCGCTGGTGGCGGATCAGGCTGGAACTCTGACTAAAACGCTTCCCACAGTCAGGGCACTTAAAAGGCTTTTCCCCAGTGTGGGTCCGCTGGTGCTCTATTAGGACATAGCTGTGGCTGAAGCCTCTGCCACACACAGGGCACTCGTAGGGCTTCTCACCTGTGTGTGATCGGTGGTGCTGGATCAGGTGAGAGCTGCTGCTGAAACTCTTGCCACACTCGGGACACTTGTAGGGCTTCTCGCCCGTGTGAGTCCGCTCGTGTATGACAAGGTGCGAGGTGTTGCTGAAGCTCTTCCCACAGGCCCCGCACCGGTAGGGCTTCTCGCCCGTGTGTGTTCTTAGATGCTGGATCAGGTGAGAGCTGTTACAGAAGCACTTTCCACACTCGGAACACTTATAAGGCTTTTCTCCCGAGTGGGTCCTCTGGTGGGCACGCAAATGAGAACTATTATGGAAGCTTTTCCAACATTCAGAGCATTTGTAGGGCTTGTCTCTGAGAGGCGAGTTTTGCTGGACGGAGGCGTCGGCGTGTTCTCCGGGGTCCCATGCGCGGTGACTGGGTTCTTCCTCCTCTCGCCCTGCAGAACCTTCCCACATCTCTGCCTTGCCGTCACTCTCCAGGAAAGCATGGCACCAGTGTTCATCCCCTCGGGACCACGTCATTGCTATTTCTTTCGTATCTTCATGCTTGGAATTTTGTGGGCAATGTCTCCTAGGCCATTTTGGAGCTCTCTCTTTATCTCTCTTACGTTTACAATGTTGAACAGTTCCCAAATTAGCCTTACTTTCATCTCCTGCAAGAATAAATAAATAGCCTAAAAACAGCTCCTAATCTCTGTTGGAGAAGAAAAATCTGATTTGCAGTGTAAGAGAGAGGAAGCAATGTAAGCTCTCAGAAATTATTTCACATAGAGGGTTTTTAAAGCTAGTTTCATTTCTTTTATTCTGTGTGCTCACCAAAAGCAAGTGCATTTTTTGTACTTAGTAACAATACTAAGGAAGTATTGGAACTGTTGTCAGCAACTGCCAAGGGGAATGTCAAGGCAAAAGTAAATGCATTCAACTTTATTCTAGAAGGCTTAAAAGGAAAAAGGGAATTTGAGTAGGAGTGAAACTGAATAGGATCCCATCCGAAAACCACACAGCAGCTCGGTTAAAATCTGACCAAGTATAGAAATAACGATGGTAGCCACTATTTATTCCGATCAGTAGCTTTGCATGTGGTTTCTCATTAACCTTAAAACAAATATTAAGACAGATATTATCACTGTTTCTCTTAAAGATGAGAAAACTAACACGGAAAGAGTTAACACAGCATGTAAGTGACACAGCAGGGACTCAAAATACAGTCTGTCTCCTTCTAACACGCTGTTCTTTCTACATATGCTATAGCACATTCTGTAACAAATTTCCAAAGATCTAGATCATCTTGATCCCTCACCTGTAAAGGGGCTTTTCAAACTCTCCCTCTTCAGGAAGCCGTTAGAATCTGAGACCAACAGTTCTTTTTCTTGCTCCATCACAATGAAAGCAGCCAGGTTAGGGATCAGAAGTCCTGCAGAAGGAAACAGGTCATGTTCAGAGGCATCTGTCAAAGTCTGTACTTCCTCCTTCCTTCCCAACCACTGTACCGTCACAATTACAGGCACCGAGTGTCCTGTGACCACACTCAAAATAAGAACTGAGGCCTGTAGAAGCTCGTTCAGAAACTCTTATCACAGAAGCAAGTTACCTTCTCTAAAGACATAATCCTAAAAATTCAATTTTCACACCAAAAGTCTGAGGATCAAGCTTCGAAGATAGAAAAGGACTTTGAAAAGTTCACAGAAAACAGAATCACAAGTAATTTTGGTGCAGTAAAAAATTTTTAAGCTCATGCATCATTTTCTCATAAAACACATTTCCCATGAACTTTTTGAAGGTCCCTCACAGAATGCATACTAATGCTCATTGCCCACTCATAGCTTAGAAACACTTTCCATTGAAAAACAGTACTTTTTGGGAAAAGGTACCAATAATAACACTTTCAAAGACTCTAAGAAATCTATCTGCTGGCCTAGAAGCAGCTAAGGAAGAGAAAGTACCACGTTTCGTTGCAGTGAATAATTTGTTTGTTGACCGAATAAAGAAATCTTTGAAGTCAATCTCAAAAGAATTTATATAGCCAGTAATAAGAAATTAAGACAAAACAGGGCTGGAACAATTATAGACAATAACTCCCAAATATAAAGGCTCTTACGTGTAAGTCTATCCTAAGTACAATATCCATTTTAGGCGAAATGACCTTGTGGAGCCAACTACAATCCCTGACCTACATTAAGGGACTAAGTAAGGTGATCCACATGGAAAGACAGCCCTATACGGAGTTAACATCCATTGTAGGATGTAAAGAATGCCATAAGTGGGTTGGGGGTAGGGGATGAGGCACAATAAAAGCCTGAAAAGGCACACATATTAAAAAAAAAAAAACACAATTGTATAATTTCTACCCCATCAACATCTGTTTTGCATCAAGTAGCAAACTAAATAATTTGCACATCTTTCTCACTTAATTCTCACAACAGCCCTCTAAAGTTGTACATTAATAACAGTAAGATCGGGGCCAGCACTGTGGCATGGCAGGTAAAGCCACCGCCTGCAGCACCAGCATTCCATATGGGCACTGGTTCAGTCCCGGCTGCTCCACTCCCAATCCAGCTCTCTGCTATGGCCTGGGAAAGCAGTAGAAGATGGCCCAAGTTCTTCGGCCCCTGCACCCGTATGGGAGACCAGGAAGAAGCTCCTGGCTTCGGATCGGCGCAGCGCCGGCCATAGTGGCCATATGGGGAGTGAACCAGCGGATGAAAGAATTTTCTCTCTGCCTCTCCTTCCCTGTGTAACTCTGACTTTCAAATAAATAAATAAATCTTTAAAATAATAATAACATCTCACTGGTGACTTTATAGTTTTTTTTTTTAGTTTTTTATTTATTTGACAGGTAGAGTCATAGACACTGAGAGACAGAGAGAAAGGTCTTCCTTCCTTTGGTTCACCCCTTAAATGGCCGGTACGGCCGGCGCTGCGCTGATCCAGAGCCAGGAGCCAGGTGCTTCCTCCTGGTCTCCCATGGGGTGCAGGGCCCAAGCACTTGGGCCATCTTCCACTGCCCTCCCAGGCCACAGCAGAGAGCTGGCCTGGAAGAGGAGTGACCAGGACTAGAACCCGGCGCCATAGGCGGAGGATTAACCAAGTGAGCCACGGCGCCGGCCCCTAGAGTTTTTATAAGGTCTTTAACAACTCCCCCGAGGTCGCACAACAGGTGTTACAGTGAACTAGAGCCGTAAGCAAAGCTGGGCAGGCAATCCTCGAGGATGGCCTTTATTCTGAAATTTCTCAGCCGTCTTTTAGTAAACAGACCTGCATGCCCCAAACTCCGTATCACTGCGAGCACACATCAGGTAAGCACACTCCAAAAACCACAGGGGCTCTGTTGTAAAGCCGAACCCGCGTCACAGATGTCCCCAGTGTCTGAATGCAGACAGACACACCGGAGTGGAAGGGAAAAGATGCTACTCAACCAGAGTTGCTGTTTAGCTGTCCCAGGACATGCGGCTGTCAACGCACGTACGGGGAAGCCAGAGTCTGAGTGACGGATTCCTTCCCCACCGTTCTCCCCAGAAGATGCAGTAACGCAGCCCTCGGCAACACTGAGTAAGACAGCGGGGCATTCAAGGCCGACATGGCAGCAAAAGGCTGTCCTGAGATGTCACTCCGCAGAGGGTCGGCTGTCGCTGTCACCGAGCGAACAGGTGACTACAGTGGCTCACGCCTTCTAGCAGAAAACCTTGCAAGCGAACGCACTGCCTGAAGCTCAGCTTAGCGGGGCACTGCACGGCGAAGGGCCAGCCGAGCCGACCCGCAAGACAAGAAAGATCCTTGCAGGCACCCCGCAGGCCAGGGCCGGGCTGGGCCGTGGCACCGCGCAGCAGCCGGATCGCTCCCCGCGACGGACCCTGAAGACGGGGCCGTGCGGGGTCCGCTTCCCTAGCCGGCGTCCCTCGGCCCCCTTCCTCTCGAAAAGGAACTCACTGTTCTGGGGGCTGCACGCAAGGCTCCCTGCATCCCCAGCAGCGCTCCAGGAGATAACGCACCCCGCTCCTCCCGACCCTCCCCAATCGCGGTCCTAAACTCTCACACCCGGAAGACAGACACAGGAAGTCGCCATGTCTTTCCCGGCAGGCTTTGCCGGGGCCCTTCTAGGCAGCAGTGAGGGTCGTCGCTCTTTGATCTTAACCCTTAGGAGCCCGGAGCGGCGCCGCGTGCTGAGATGCCAGCTCCGATCCTCGCTCCCTGGTCCTGCGCCTTATGAACGGGGCCTGATTGGAGCTTATACTTCTCCATGCCGTCTGGGCGTCGTTGGCTTTAACTTCATTATCATTCGAATGAAAATCCACCTGAGTATGCATTAAGCACCGCCCACCCCTGTGAGCGTGAATATAATAGGAGAATTTTACCCGTGAAAACAGCTGGAGACATCAGGCATCTATCCACGTTTAAAACAGAGAGTTTGGGCAGATGTTTGGCCTGGTGGTTGAGACACTCACATCCCATCCCATATCAGAGTCCCTGGGCTTGACTCCGCTCCACTTCCAAGTCCTGCCTCACTACTGCGCGCTCTGGGAGGCAGCCGCTGAGCGCTCAAGTGCTTGGGTCCTTGGTAACCCATGGAGGAGAACTGGGTTGAGTTCCCAGCTCCCCGCTTCAGTCTGGCCTGGTCAGGGTGTCCGCAGACTTTCGGAGACTGAACCAGTGCATGGGAGCGCTCTCGCTCTCTGTTTTCTCTCTCCCTCTCAAATAATACGCAAATACAATTAAAAAAAAAAAAAAAAAACACGTGGTTTGCAAGGCACCTTTTCAATACTCAGAGATACCGTTAACTCTATTATTACAGGGAAACAGGAGCCGATCTCCTACCTCCCCACTCCCCTGCGCCATCCAACATGAGAATCCACTTCACTCTGTCCGCCTTTCTTCTTTCCCCATCATATGTAGAAAAGATCTCTCCGTATTTAAAACACAGCCTGCACTGGAATTGTACTTCATAATCTT